CGATAACCAAAAGTATTAAAAAGAACATTGCATTCCCAAGTTAATGAACTTTAATATAGTGACTTAAATATCAGAAACATTACAAGTATTGTAGCAGAAATACTAAATTTATTTACTGTYCCTTCTTTATTTGGTCTTCTACATTACTCAGCAATGTGTTTACACGATACATAGTTTCCATTGCCTTACTGCACATTTCTTTGTGTGCTTCCTGTGCTTCACGAGCTATTTCCCTATCACTCTTCCTCTTCTTGCTAGTTGGTTTAGCCGTTCCATCTATGTCGCTGTCTGACGAAGAGAAAACAAATTCTGCTTTTAACTTGCTTTGCGGCATCTGCCTCTGTGCTGGCCGAGTCCTTTTAACCGCATAGCGCATCTGCTGCTCTTTAACTTCAGTCAGCACATCATGATGTATTGGCTTAGAAGACRTAGAGGAACTAGTAGAAGGCGTAGAAGAAACAAGGGCTTTTCTTAAGATATTTTTCATACGATTTGTGATGCGTTGCTCTAGGGCCTCCATGTAGATTTGAACAACTCGTTGAGGTAGACCTGCATCTATTACCCGTTGTTTTGCTAAGGCGAGGACTTCTTTCCAACCCTTWCCCATAGAGAGATTGTGACATTCCAGTACGAACTTCTTTTCAGTGTCGCCGATATTTACTCTTGAAACTTGTCCTTCATCTAGTGAGATACATGTGTAAAAGAAATAATTATTAAACAACTGGTGGAGGTGCAACAATTGTATAGAGGTGCTAACTATTGATTAAAATAACGGCGAAAACATTGAACTTGTATAAAAATTACCTCCAGCTCTTGAAGTTTGGCTGTTAGCCATGTCTGTGTCGTTAGGAAGGACGTTAGCTGATAGTTTTGCAGTGAACTAGAAAACGCTTGCAGCATAAGATGGCAAGTAATTAGCCGCAGAGCAGGTGAGTGTGAAAAGGAATGCATGCAAGAATGTGGTAGAATTAATTGCTTTCAAAAACATAAGCCACGAATAACACTTGAATAAATGAAAACCACACTGTTCGTGTGGGATCAGAATGGATTTATTAGAAATACGTGCTGTGTTGTTTAACATTTTAGCATTCGTGTTGCTTCTTGTGGCCTTGCAACCTTCATTTGAATATGTGCAACCCCCTTTACAGCAGCGTTTGCTGCCGGGCTTTCACGGCTATCAGTATCAAGGACGAGATGTATTTTCACTAATTTCTGGACAATCTTGGTTGTTTTGGCGAAACACTGGTGAGACTACAGCATCCTTTTTGCAGCTTGTTCAAGATTTGACACCAACACTATTTCAGCGCAATACTTATGGACAACCACGACAACGACTCAGACGACAACAGTTAAATCTGACAAATCAAATCTTGCTAGTTCTCATATGGCTGAGGAAATATCCACATCTCGGTACTCTTGCACTGATATTTGACGCTGACCCAGTTAGTATCATGAGAATCATTTATAACATTATATTATACCTGGGCTGTGGCAATATTTCCAGAATCAAATCAGGTGGCCTAATAATGCTGAATGGGCCAATTTGATGGGAAATTGGCCCGAGTTTCCAAATGTAGTGGGAGCCATTGATTCTACCCCACACGAGATCCGCCGACCTTTGACAGAACCCCAGAGGCCCTTCTACAGTGGACATCGTCATTACCACTGCTTCAATACACAGCTTATTATAGACAACGATGGCCATTTACGTTTTGTACAAACTGGATTCCTTGGAAGCACCCATGATGCAACTTCCTACCGTCTGATGACACCGATAGGACCTGGTCAACCGTTGAGTCTTCCCCCTGGGGCAAAATTACTTGCCGATAAAGCTTATCCTGATGGTGGTCCCCTGCTTACACCAGTAAGAGCGCCACAATTGCGGGGCTTAAATAGGAGAGTGAGAAGGCGTGCTCTTAAATTTAATGCTTGTCTGTCAAGAAGGAGAGTCAAAGTTGAGCATGTCTTCAAGGACATGAAAACATATCGGGCTATTTCAAACATATGGAGACATCCAAGGTGGTTTATGCCAGTCTGTATTGAACTAGCAGCGCTTTTGGCAGAAAGACGTGTCAGACTATTTGAAAATATTTAAGATATTTTTGTTTTGTTTTACTTGTTTTCTTTCTTTGACTATTTTGCCAAGTTGAGGGGGAAAAAAGATTTTCTGAATAAGAATGTATCGCTTTCTATTCCCGAATGTTTAAAGCCTGATCTTTTCTAATCCATGATTAAAAGCACTGATTTATATGGAACCGAGCTGTCTTTAGGTAAAATTATTTCAGTGTTTATCCATGTGTATCGAAGAGTATTGTATGTCTCATTTGCATGCTATTTTATCCCTCAAACTCATTTGCATGTAAATTAAAAGGCACTTACGCTAAACCGTTCTAATAATTCAAATATACTGTGAATTTTTACAGTATCATGATGACATCATGATCACCTGATAAAATAAAATAATATTTTCACCAGAGGATAAGATAATTTAATAGCTACAAATACCACCTCTGATTATTTTCAAATTATTTATATTTTAAATGTTATTCCACAGTCCCATGGCCAGACAAGTTTCGTCTCAAAGATATAGTATCAGCTCTCCGTTCAAATATTGCCAACTACATTGTTGGCGAAGGCTTGACAATTGGACTTATCAATGGTTGGCGTGCCATTGGAGAAAAGGTGAAGTTAAATCCAAATGAATTAAAAGCAATCAGTGCTGCAGGACATTTAAAGACACATACAAATGAGGGTGAGCAACTACTGTTAAAGNAATGGCTGAAAGTCCAAGCTTTGAGGATCAGGAAGACTTCGAAGAACCAAAATATTTCGTAAGAGTGACGGGATTCTCGACAAACACCACGCAAGATGCACTTCTGAATTTTTTCGAGAACACTCGACGATCTGGTGGTGGGGACATTACCGGTGACATTCAGTTCAACTACGATGAAGGTTTCGCTGATATAATATTCTGTTTTAATAAAGGCAAGTATTTTTGGGTAAACAAACTTAATAGACTTAAAAATTACCCCGAACCATGTAATATTATACATGCTGGAGAAATGTTTCTCTCAAATGTTTTCATATATGTGCATGAGTATGAACGAATAAATATCAGAAAGATAAAGGAACAATTCTCTAGAGAACATTATACAAACATCACATGGTTTGAAACGGGAAATTTACATACAAAGGTAATTAATGTTTGCCCCAAATATCTAATTTGCATACAGACTACGAGACATGCTCATGTTTGATGCTTTTTCCCTTGCCACTACGGAACTCTGCGCTTAGAAAAAAAGTCAACTAAATGAGATTGGAAAAAGTAATTACATTAAATTTGTCAGTTTAATTGTTCTGCCGATCCGCTGTAACAAAATAATGCTGGGTCGTTTTTTTTCTCAACGGCATTTTCATAGAATGACCTTGTAGCTTGAAAACCAATCAATTCTTTTTGATAAATTTACATAATATCGAATGAGTATGGAGTCTGTAAAATGTATGTAACTTAAAGTTTTCAAATTATTTACATTACCTGAAAACCGATTAATTTTTCCAGTGTTAGGCATTTTCCGCACAGCAACTGATTTAAATAGCTTTAATTAATTAAAGATCATATATTTATAATCATCAAATACCTATAGCACGAACTGGATGTTTTTGCTTGTGATGTAGACCATCGATACAAGACATTGAAGTTATTTTATAATATCATACTTTAACAGATGCCGAAGGAGTTGTCAAGAAAGAAGGCTTACAGCTTGATGGCGCTAGCCTTATCACGACTCTGAAGCCAATCCCAAAAGAACTTCCAAAAGACCAGAAAAGATTCCATGTGATGGGTATAAGCGATAGGACAATAAGAGACGGACTCGTATCGTTCCTGGAGGTAGTGAGCGGAAAAGAAGTTGAGAGTATACTTTTCGGTGATAATACCAATTGTGTGGTTAGTTTTACTGAGCCAGTAGGTGAGCAAAATTCTATCATTTCCGCCGCATTTTGTCGATGGCTCTGGATATTTGCATAATTATTGACATCGTTGTCTTGCACTGTGTGCTAACCCACAAGAGGTGAAGGGAGTAAATTTTAGCGGCATGAGTGAACAGACTTTGTACGAGGTACTGGCACAGGGGTTAGCACATTGTCCCTCCCCAATGCGATTTCCACTCTGACCGACACTTTGTCTTTCCCTAGGTATATTCCTTTGAATACCTCTCGCATATCAGTGCTCGAATTTTAGATGGGGAAGAATTTTTTGAACCTACTCTCCGGTTCCTCCCCTTCAACCTATAAAATATCATATCCTCACATAAAAATAATATCATAACATCAATAAGTAATTATCTTCGATTCTTAGATTTTCCTGAACTACAGAGGATATGCAAAACAAGTTCCTTGGACGATTGCTTCTTTAACATAGAGCAAGTCAAAGTATGTGATACCATTGAAATATCAGGATTTACTGAAAATACAACCCAAGACACGATTTTGTACTACTTCAGAAATAAACGAAATGGAGGTGGAGATGTGGAACGTATCGATATGATTGACGAGGGGAGAGTGTTGCTTTCTTTTGAGGACCACAAAGGTAAAAATAATCATCGTGCTATGTTTGACTTAGGGAAAGTGTGTTCCTTAATGGAAGTGGGGAAAGTCTGGGGCTTTAAAGGGAAGGGTCTTACTATGTTCGTTGATTTGTTTTGACTAAAAGTTCTATGGTGTTAACTTTCAGTTACTGATGCCATATTGAAGCAAGCTCATATGATAGATGGTGTCCATCTAGAAATCAAGTGTTACTACCCTTTCCTTGGTGAAACATCGTTTAAGCACCCTAGAGGTGAAAAGAGGGAAAAAATTGTTCAAGTCGATCCACAAACCATACCGTTTATCAAGGAATTGTTCCATACAGAATTTGACCAGCTTCTGCAGGAAACTCAAGTGAAGTACACATGGCAGGAAGGCTCAGGGGAGATTGTTCTTGTTTGGGCTGAACCTAAAATGGGTAAGAAGACATGGGAGAATTCCTATGAAGCTGTTGTAGCCTACATCAATCAGTTTGTGACAGACAAGATAACCATTTCTCAAGAAATTTGGGAACAGATGAGTGAGGACGTAACAGAAAAATGCGCTGCTTTGAAAACTCAAATTCAGATTTTCCATGTATTTGACTTCAGTAAAAAGCAAGATTCGATTATGTTTAGAGGAAAGAAAACCCATGTATGTGCACTATCGAAGCAGCTACATAGCTCARTTTCTCAGGTAGAGAAACAAATTATGTTGGAAAAAAGCAAAGTTGCACAGAAAATCGAACTTTCCAACGCACAGATGGAGTTGATGAGTTTGTGTGGATTTGTTGAAGATTTAAAATCAAAATACAAGGACCTTGAAATAATGATAAATTCTGGGGACAATGCAATCCAAATGAGAGGACAAGAAGACGTAGTTAATGAAGGTAACTTAGCAGTCTGGCAAGTTTTAGCAGCAATGAAAGAAAGTGAATTGAGACTTGATGAATCAATGGTTGACATTCTTGCTTCAAAGAGTGGGATGGCATTTCTTTCTACCATGCTAAAGAACAATGAGATTTACGCAGTTGTTAGTCGAGATAGCAACCTAACCGAAGGGGATCTTGTAGTGACGGCAGTAGATCGGAATAACTTGAAGGAGGCGGTGAACCTCATTCTGAAAGATGCAACAACGAAGGAAAGCATTCCTTTGGATACCGTTCAAAAAGAACTAATGGACTCTGAGAAATGGAGAGAATTGAAGGACTCCATTCAAAAGTCGATGCTTTTAAAATTTACGGAAGAACCAACAGAGAGCAAATTATTGTTGGTTGGTATTAAACAAGAAATCGACAGAGTTAAGGAACAAATTGAAGACTTTTTCAAAAATAACACTATAACAAAAAACGTTTTAGCTGAAGCAGAAATTTCCATCGATAATATTGAACAATATTTAGATGGGGATTCCTTAAGAGAAGAAGAGGAGGGGAATAGTGGAAAGCGGATATCGATGTTGTATCATTGTACCGAAGAAGATGTGGATAAAACTTCTGACATAGATGTAGTATTGCTGGGCGGAACTGAACACCGTGCTAAAGTTGTAGGCAAGACAGAAGCTATGAACAAATCAGGTGCTGATGATGAATGGAAGCATGGTGACAGTGTTGAGGATAGCACCGGTTCTACTAAAGAAGAAGAATGCTACAAAGCAGAAGAAGCAGAAACAGAAACTATGAACAACTTAGGTGCTCATGATGAATGGAAGCATGGTGACAGTGTTGAGGATAACCCCAGTTCTACTAAAGAAGAAGAATGCTACGAAGCAGCTACTATACCTCGTGTTTCTTTAGACCTCAAGGTAATTGCGTGTCGGTGATATTATTTTTACAGGAAATCGCACGATCTCGAGTACAATTCGGAATTTATAGGTACAAGTGAATGATGTTTTGAAAGTTTTCAAAGTTGGACGAGCCTTTAGGCGAGTTCATGCAATTAGAAAACTTTCAAAATATCACGAGTATCCCTATAACATATTCCGAATTTTCTCTTGTCGAATCAGAATCGAGTGTATTATAAAATGATACTAATTACCCCATGTGTTTGTTTGTTAGTGATTGTTTGGTCGTTTAGCTTTACACCCTTTAAAATTTTTAATTTTTAATTCTAACTATCACAGATTCAAAGTAACGTTAGACCACTTTACACAGTAACACTGTCTATTTACTTTCAATCTGTTTGTCGCCTAGAAAAGCTAGTTTTTAACATCATCGGTTTTAAATGTCAATGTTTTGCAAATGACGTTTAAAAGCAACAAAAGACTAACCTGCTTTTCAGACATAATATGTGTTGATATGTACTAAAAATATGTACTGAGCGTTTGCTGGCTATTCTACTTCTCTTCGTGGATTGATACGGGTTTTAGAACAATTTTCGGTGAATTTGCGTTTATTTGATCCCGTCCGACGACCACGATCCTTTACATTTAAACAATAGATTGTTGAAGATTGTTTTGATGTGACGTCATAGTGAAGTAGGGCAATTGGTTCATCCATAGCAGACAGGTTAATAGAGAGGAACGTCCTCCTCATCTAACTATAACCAATCTATATCATATCTGTGCACCTTTCGCTTTCAGGTTTTACAAGGAAATAATCTCCAATTCGCCGATAAGAAGATGACGGAATTGACGGAAGATTTTTCTGTAGTAAATGATGACAGACCTACCCCTATATAAATGAAAGACATCTATGTTCAAGCTGCCATGCTTCCTCTGAGTAAAACATTAGACWAWGGAGTAGTGGTGTCTGTCCATCAAGGCGACATTACTAAAGTACACGCTGATGTCATTGTTAATTCAACCAATGAGAGGCTTGCGCATGGAGSGGGTGTTGCAGGAGCCATAGTAAAGCAAGGTGGTCAACGAATACAACAGGAATCAGATGCATTAGTTAGGAGATACGGATGTGTTCCTGTAGGTCAGGTTGCACATACTGGCCCAGGGAATCTTCCTTACAAACAAATCTACCATGCCGTTGGTCCACAATGGAGAGTTCATGGTGAAGAACGTAGTCGACATTTTATTTTTGAAGCGTGTATGAAATGTTTCGTACAAGCAAGTAAACACAGAATGACGTAAGTATAATAACTCCGAGTTTTGTACTCTGTTCGTATTGYTTTACTTGGAATTATTTGGAAGCTKTCTTAATTATMATAATAACACGATCTTATGGACAGTTAATACATAACTTATTTCACGGTACGGTGATGTTATAGGTTGGTATAATTCCACAACAATCACAAAGGTTAGACCTCTTGCTTTCCTGTTATTTTGAGGTTCAATACGAATTACCACCCCTGTATAATGAGCGCTTAGCTAGCTTAGATACCTTTTCTATATCCAAATACCGTAGTCAAAAAATATTTCCAATTACTGAATACAGAACTTGGTGGGACTTGCTAGTACTTATAATCATGGTACTGMGAATATAATGCGCAAAAATGTCTTGACAACTATTGATTACTCACGATATTCRYGGAATTCCGTTCTAGTTCCATTGCCCTTYCCGGAATAAGTTCTGGTATATACGGCGTACCAAAACAAGCTTGCGCAGAGATGATGTTTGCTGCCGCAGAGATATTCAGCGCCGAAGCATCAAGTGACAACCAACTGAGGGACATCCGGTTTGTAAACATAGACACCCCAACTTACGATGCATTTCGAAGGGAGTTTCACGATCGTTACAATTTGATGACAAAGGAACCCGCACACCTTGGAAGTAATCTTAAAGAAGAAGACGTGGTTGATCTTTTTCCTCAAGCAGACAAAGAAAGAGAATACCAAAGGAGCACCGACCAGCAGATGTTTGGTTCGACGGGAAGGACAGATCAASTGGTTAACATTGAAGAATTTGAGCGCATAAAGAGAGCAGCTGTTGCAACCCTAAGGATGAAGAAGAATGAGACAGCAATAGCTGAAGAAATACCGCGAGAGCATGAAACTTCGTCAATGATACCATCGAGTGAAAATAAATTATCTTTCCTGGGTGGTTTTGAAGAAAAAGAAAAGAATATTGGAAAGATAATAGAAGCGAAAGGGAAAGAGGAAGAGGAAGAGAAGGAGAAGGAGAAGGAGAAGGAGAAGGAGAAGGAAGATTGCGAGAATGGAAATAAAGTTTGTCCCAAAAATAACATGAAAAAGTCCACAGTTGAAGGCAAAAAAGAAAACGAGGTGATCGCCATGTTTTCAAAGATGGGAATTAATGACGATAAACCTAAAAGAGAAGATGCAGTAAAGACGGAAACAAATGAGAACAATGACCCTGAAATAGTAGAAGCAAAAGAAAAGCCAAAGGTTGCGGATAAAACTAAATCGATTTATGAAACAGAAAACGAGGATTTAGATGTTAAGAAAAWTGATCCTGAAATCCCCATTGAGACTGACGARTCKTCACGTCTGAAAGAAAAGCCCAATGATCAMAGTYATTCTGAAATCAAAAACAAACCTCACGGGAATAAAATAAAAGCTAGTGATAGAGAATTATCCGGAAGAGGAGTCACCTACGAGCATCCAACTGTCTTATATCAGAAAACAAAAAAACCCTTCAAGTCATCTGGACGTGGAAGAGGTGCTCTAGCTTTTACTTCAACGCTTACAGGTACAATGCCTGCACGTGCAGTCAGAGATGATCCCTTCAATGTAAATGGTGACAGTCGAACAGACGAGGACGATCCATCAGGAGGTGATTGCAAAGAACCGCCGGGGCTAACAGTAAGCGAGGAAGGCTTGAAGCTTGCCAACACGATTAGAGAAAGGAGCGAGGAAAGAAAATAAAGTCAGGAAAAAGATAGTGTAAATGCCAGAAAGAAGCATCTAGAAAGCAAGCCCAAAGATACAACAGATGGCGTTCCTCCTAAGAAACTTAAAGTTGATGAAAGGACCGAAGAAAAAAAAAAGGCGGAGGATCAGCAAAACATGGAGATACCATGACAAACTTCAACAAAAAATATGAGGACCCGCCATCTGGTAAAAGTGACAATAATAATGAAGAAGTCAAAGAAGAAATAAAAACTGATATGTCTGAGTCTAATGAGTCTTATGCGTCCAAGGAAGACTCCAAGTCGGACAAAGAAAATAACGAACATGACATCGTGGATAAAAGTGAAAACGTCTGTGATCAGGAAAAGAAAGAAATCAAGTCTAAAGATGACCATCTGAACAACAATCAAACGGAAAAGATCAGTGGGATGCATGCTGAAAAGGAAGAGGAAAGCAGTGCTACATCTGGAGGAACAACTGATTCTAAGGAACCAATGGATTCAAAATTGAAGTCTGATGGTGATGGCCAAAGTTCAGATCATTACGCAAAACAGGAAATCAGTGCTGTGCCTGAAAACGCAACTGGACCGAAACCTTTGTATCCCAACGCCGAGGAAAATGGTGATGATCAAAATATTCATAAAGGCGCAAAAGAAGAAATCATTGATGCATCCGCAAAAGCAACTGAACTTAAGAATCTCTTGGATTCTAACGTCGAGGATAGTGCTGATGATCAGAATTCTCAAAAAGATTCAAAGGACGAAAGCAGTGTTGCATCGTCTACGAAAGCAGACGATCCTAAGGAACAAGTGGATTCCAACGTCGAGGACTATGGTAGTGATCGAAATTCTCATAAAGATTCGAAGGACGAAAGAAGTGTTGCATCTGCAGAAGCAACTGAACCTAAGACACAAACGGATTCCAACGTCGAGGAAAATGGTGGTGATCAAAATTCTCATAAAAACTCAAAGGACGAAAGCAGTGTAGTATCTGAAGAAGCAATTGAACCAAATAACCCTTTGGATCCTAACGTCAAGCTTGGTAGTCAAAGTCAAAGTCCTGACCTAGAAGCAAAAAACAACAGCAAAGATGTGTCTGCAGAAGCGGCCGATCCTAAAAAACCTTTGGAGCGTGATGGTGATGGCGAAAGTTCTAATAAAAAAGCAGAAGAGGATAGCAACACCCAGTCTGCAGAAGCGATTGATCTTAACAACGTTTCAAATTTTAGTGCTGAACCAGATTCCATGAATTCTTTTGTGTTTTTGGATATGCCCAGTGTAGATCATGACAGCTCAATAAGACCTGAAAAGACGTCAGGAAGCAGCGACGAGTCAAGTGAGAGCATCGAACTTCTTAATTCAGAAAGAGATGGATTTTCTGATACTTCGTCTTCAAGCCCTGCCATTGAGCAAGGACGTGACCTCGCCCAGCCATCTGGTGGTGACCTCGATAACTCCAGCATCGGGAGCACTACACTCCACGAGGTAAATCCTGTATCAGACTCGCATACAAAAGCAACGGGGAAAACGGTTGGATCTGCAGTGGCGAACAACAAAGACCAAAGTGCTGAAAATAATGCTACGGAACTTGAAGGTGGGGCTAGTAGCTCTAGTGTCCACCAAGAAGCCSATAATACTGAGAGTATTATCAAAGACAATGATCATCCCCAAAAAATATCATCAGTGGAAGACCTATCTCATGATAACGTTGCTGCAGATACAGTGAAAAAAGCAGTCAACTCGGGTAATGATAAACAACCATATTGCCTTTTTTATGTTGTCCTCTGTTAAGCTCTGTTCTGTGTTAATTTGATAGTTTGTTTATTTGTTCAATTCGTCAGTTTGTTCGTTTGTTTGTCCGTTTGTGCGTGTGTTTTTGTATACTTTTTTCTGCCTGTCTGTCTCTTTGTGTATTTGTGCTTTTTTAAATGGGGGAGGGGAAGGTTTTTCATACGCGCTAAGAATAAAGGAGATATTTTAGCATTGTTAATGATGACGAAAAAAATATATGTCCTGATTGAATTGAGTGATATCCGAAATCGTGCTTCGTCAAAACGCATGAAAACGAGAGAATAAAGTTAATATATTTTCCTTATCTTTTAGATAGAGAAACTACTTCTGTCATATCAAACGAAAAACAAGAATGTGGAGTTTGCTTGTCTACACTTGATTCAGCTCAACTTTTAAGGATTTGTGATTCTGGTCACGCAGTCTGTAGAAACTGTATCGATAACCTACAAAACGCTGAGCTTAATAGTTTTTGTCCAACTTGCCACGAAGTTGTCCCTAGAATTGCGCTACAGCCTCCAAATGGTCAAATGAAGTCTGGTATTATAGAAAAAGGTTTGGTGGGTTACGAGAGCTGTTTTACAATATATGTCGACTATGAATTTCCTGAGGGAACACAGGTTGGTATCCACGAATGGTTTATAATTACAATATTTTCCTTAAATAAGAAAAAAAATTGATATGGGTTGAAAACGTTTTAATAATTAGGTTTTTTAGTGTTTTTATTTGTCTAAATAGTTTTTGTCTTTATATTGTTTAGCATTGAGTCCGATGTGAAGTGCTTTGAAATAGATTATCATCATCATCATCATCATCATCATCATCATCATTATTATTATCATTATTATNTTTATAGACCTTGTCATTCCTTCATTTTCTGGATCATTTAGACACAAATACCATGCATTTGATATCATCCACGAATAAAGTAAATAATTTCCTCACGATCAGCGATCCCTTCTTGTTTGGAAGAAGTTGAATTTCGAAACCACGCTTCTCGTAATATGATATATAGTTTTACGCAAGAATAGCGTCAGCCATCAGCGGACTAAAATTCCGATTTGAAACAGCTGTGTATTCTGTGTATTAGTTAGATTGCTTACACTGTGTCCATGAAATAAGATCTAAATAGTTACTACCTAACAGTTCTTATTTAGTACAGTATTTTACTTAATGATTTACTTAATGTATAAAATGATACATCCACAAATACAAGCACTTTTTTACTTACCAGAACTTAAGAACCCATTTAAGAACCTAGATAGCCTGATTTCAAGTTAAGCACCACTTATATAAGAACCTGTTCAGGCTGACTTGGAAAAATCTAGGTTCCAACACGCGGGGTTTTACTGTATACATTTTTAAAAATATAATCATATACTTATTTTGCTCAATCAGGGCCCCTTTCATCCAAACCCTGGCACTCCTTACGACAAACTTTCTAGGAGGACATTTCTTCCAGATAACGAAGAAGGCAGGGAAGTGTTAGAACTTCTCAAGAAAGCATTTGATGCTAGTATTCTCTTCACTGTTGGTAAATCTACGATCAATGACAATGATAATCAAATCATATTCAACGAGGACATAGAACACAAGACTAATGTCAATGGTGGACCCAAAGTGTGAGTATCAAGTAGTTTGTTGTGTGTTGTGTTGTATCGTGGAAGTAGACAAGGGGTGCCTCCCTAGGACCCCTCAAAGTCCCCCATTATTTTCCGTTTGCTTTGAAAAGGTCCTGGAAACTATACAAGTGAATATGGTCCCCAACCAGCTGTATGAATTTCATTGCTATTTCATTTCGCATTGTTATCAGCCTTAAATGGAAGGAATACACTGCTTCCTATGCTTTATTACTCATGTACCTTTTTATTAAAACGTACTTTTAAAAACGTGCCAATTATCTGGACATTTGAATCCAAAAAAGGACCACTACTTTGTTTTAACAACAGTAATAGCATGACAACCAAAAGCCACAATACCCCAAGGATTCCCTACGTGTACAAGCAAGCTCTACCTCATATTCTTCTGTATTTTCTCTAGCCATTTTCTTTCTTTGAATAGAAGTGGTTATCCAGATCCAGATTACCCCGACAGAGTAAAGAAACAGCTAAAGGCCAAGGGAATTGAGTAAACAAGTCGAAGGCCAACAAGCATAATTATAAATTATCATCGTATCTTTCAAAGGATGTTTTTCAAAATCAGTGGAAAACACCTTATACACATTCACGAATGAAAAAGGTTTGCACATGTAGTTTGTATATATATATATGTTATGTGAGTGATAGTCTTTGTCAAATATCCTGGGCCTGTCTTGTTCCTCTAAAGCAACTGGTTAGCACATGCACTTTTTACAATCAACGGCAACAGCGAGAACAGTTATATTAAAATATGTGCATTTTGGTCATAACGTGCATGCCTTTAAAGTGGATTTTACCAAAATTCAGAGCCAGTCATTTAATCTAAAAAGTATAGTTTTGGCCATTTCACACTAGAAGTATATTCGAAAATAACGCACGCAAAGCGTCTTTCTCTGGATTATAGGGCGCCTTGGCCAGCCGCAGATTGCTTTCTTGTATCTNATTATTATTATTATTATCATTATTATTATTATTATGAAAAAGATAAAATCACTTGTTTTACGAGGCGGTAGCACTTAGCCGTCTTTGGCTAACAAAAACTAGTTGCACCCATTGCTTGGCATGTGCATGATCGTATATATGGAAGGGGGCTTTGACCTATTTTTGTACTAATATCCACTAAATGTTTTTTACTCGACTTTTCCATACTAGTCTGCTATATTTCCAAATCTAAAAACTAGTCCACTTTAAAAGGTGCTTCGCGGTCATTGCATTACAGAAAATTGTTYCACACTTCATTAGTTGGAGGTTTTCGTTTAGCACCCAATATTACTTCTTTTTCTTCCTGCACTTTTTTCTCCTGTTATTTGTATACAGTAAAACCCCGCGTGTAAGAACCTAAAATTAAAGAACCTGTCAGGCTGAAATTTTCATTTTAAGCACCCTTCACATAAGAACCATTTCAGGCTGAAATGTCAAATTAGGTTTTTAATTTCCAAATACAAAGTCAATCTGTTTTATTTTAATGTAAATAATACAGTATTCTGTATATTAGTTAGATTGCTTACACTGTGTCCATGAAATAAGATCTAAATAGTTACTACCTAAGAGTTTTTATTTAGTACAATATTTTACTTAATGATTTACTTAATGTATAAAATGCCAAACCCACCAATACAAGTACTCTTTTACTCACCAAAACTTAAGAACCCATTTAAGAACCTAGATAGCCTGATTTCAAGTTAAGCACCACCTGTTCAGGCTGACTTGGAAAAATCTAGTTTCTTACACGCGGGGTTTTACAGAATACATTTTTTAAACATAATTATATACTTATCTTTCTCAATCAGGGCCTCTTTCATCCAAACCCTGGCACTCCTTACGACAAACTTTCTAGGAGGACATTCCTTCCTGATAACAAAGAAGGCAGGGAAGTGTTAGATCTTCTCGAGAAAGCATTTGATGCTAGTATTCTCTTCACTGTTGGTAAATCTACGATCAATGACAAGGATAATCAAATCATATTCAACGAGGACATAGAACACAAGACTAATGTCAATGGTGGACCCAAAGTGTGAGTATCAAGTAGTTTATTTGTTGTTTGTTGTATGTATGTGTTGTTGTTGTTTTATCATGGAGGTAGGTCCAAGAGTGCCTTACTTGGATCCCTCGAATTCCTCCCCTAGCTATTTACTATTGGCTTTGAAAAGTTCCTGGAAACCATTCAAGTGAAGCTATGTTTTTAGTGAGCTCTCTCCTGACCAGCTGTATGAATGTCATTAATGTCAGTTTTCAGCCTTCAATGGAGGAAATACACTGCTTTTCATGCTTAAATCATCCATGTACATTTTTTATTAAAAAATTAAACTTGCCAATTATCTGGACACATTAGAACCTAATGAGGACTACTAATTCTTGTCATTGTTTTAACCACAGCTCCGCTACCCTAAAGCTTCCTTGTACCTCTAACCATTTTCTTTCCGCTTTGAATAGAAGTGGTTATCCAGATCCAGAGTATTTCGACCGAGTAAAGAAACAGCTAAAGGCCAAGGGAATTGAGTAAACAAGTCAAAGGCCAACAAGCATAATTATAAATTATCATCGTATCTTTCAAAGGATGTTTTTCAAAATCAGTGGAAAACATGTAGTTTGTATATATATATATGTTATGTGAGTGATAGTCTTTGTCAAATATCCTGGGCCTGTCTTGTTCCTCTAAAGCAACTGGTTAGCACATCCACTTTTTACAATCAACGGCAACAGCGAGAACAGTTATATTAAAATATGTGCATTTTGGTCATAACGTGCATGCTTTTAAAGTGGATTTTACAAAAATTCAGAGCCAGTCATTTAATCTAAAAAGTATAGTTTTGGCCATTTCACACTAGAAGTATATTCGAAAATAACGCACGCAAAGCGTCTTTCTCTGGATTATAGGGCGCCTTGGCCAGCCGCAGATTGCTTTCTTGTATCTATAATTCAATGAAATAATCGAAAACCGCACGGCTTCATCTAGTAGGATAGATTGAGTTCAAAAACAAAGTTCATTATATAAAGTAATAATGTTTTATGGGTCTTTCTCATAAGAATTGTTCATTTGTTTAATAACCAGCCCCGACGTGATGCCACTGTTGATAATTGCACAGATCCGTGATTTAGGAACAATGGATTTGGATTTTATATTGGTTTGATTTGAATGTCGCCGGGACAGGTCTTTATTTTTGAAATATAGAACTGTACCGGGACATTATTGAGGATAACAACCGCATTACAATATGGGATTGGGGTGTGGCTGGTTATTAAAATTTAAAAGGTTTTATAATAAGTTCATAATAAGTGTTACTTTAGAGGCTTTGTACCACCACGTGATGGCAGCCATCAAAAGGGGGCATGAACAATTAATTCTGGTCTAATCTGATTTACATTAGAAATAATTCAGTTTCCCAGGAGAAAAAGACTCTTGTTATGCTCCATGTCATGGCTGCCATCACGTGATTGTGCAAAGCCTGTGTTATAAAAGATTCGTTTTTTTCTCTTCTACTTATGTTGCCATCACATATTGAATAACCACTACAGAGCGACCTAGCTTATGTCTCTTTAATTCTGAGTAACGAAGCTGAAAGCCACTGCATATT